ATCTCGCGTGATCACTCGTGATCATCACGGAAAATTACGGACACGCAAACATTAGGGAAATACGTCGAGTGACACATCTTTATAGTATCTAATCTTTGCCATCGTTGCCATTCTCTTCTCCATATCTGCCAACGTTTTTGCCATTTGTCCGCACGAGTGGCACTTCAACTTGCGAAATTCACATAGTTCACTTTCGTGGTTAATAAGATCACGCTGGTTTAAAGTTGCACCACAGCCTGGGTTTGTACAAACGGCTGGTGTAAATCCACATGTAGCCTCATGGTTGTCAAGATGTTGCAGTTGTACGATCTCTTCACAACCCCTGTTATTGTAAACACAATGAATATTTAATTCATCTAAATAATCTTTTATCGTTCTTTGTGGTTTGGCCAAAGTCTCTACCGTCAATTCGTCCGCACACGTAGGGCATTTTCGAGAATTCTCGAGATGTTTCGTAATACAAGCACGGCAGAAACAATGATGGTTTTTCGGACACAGAACCGGGTCTTTAAGGACATTGAAGCAAATCAAACACAGGAAATTTCGATTAACTTTGACTGCGAACCTTTCCTCATCATAGCCTTGTATATAAGACGCCATAAATATCACGCCATTCTTCTCTCGTAATAACAAAGCAAGTTCTGTGTTGATGTTAGTCGCTCTGTAGTATAAATCTCGCTATATAGACACAATATAGATACAGTGTTCGTTCTTCGAGAAAGTCTGTGTTAGGATTGAGTCAAGTAGCAGCTCTCGCAAGGTCTTAGCTCATTGGCTAAAATGAATGTTCCGGTTTCGAGGGTTTCAAATTGGTGACTTCCGGTTTAGAAATTTACGTTTGTCAGGAAATATTTTCAAATATTCGTGGACGAATTTTTTGTGGTTTCGATGGTTTCAAGGGCTTCAATGGTTTAAAGGATGTGAAGGGTTTCAAGGGTTTCAATGGTTTCAAGGGTTTCAAGGGTTTCAAGGGTTTCAATGGTTTCAAGGGTTTCAATGGTTTCAAGGGTTTCAAGGGTTTCAAGGGTTTCAATGGTTTCAAGGGTTTCAGTGGTTTCAATGGTTTCAATGGTTTCAAGGGTTTCAAAGGTTTCAATGGTTTCAATGGTTTCAAGGGTTTCAAGGGTTTCAATGGTTTCAAGGGTTTCAATGGTTTCAAGGGTTTCAATGGTTTCAATGGTTTCAA